CAGTATCGTGGCGACTGGTGGGAGGGCTGCTGAGGGAGCGCCCGCGGTCGGAGACCGGCCTCCTCCCGACCAAGACGCCCCTTCAGCCCGGGGAGCGCCGTGCGAGACTGCTGGAGTGGACGAGGACGCGTCTCGACATTGCCGAGACGTGCTTGCACCCTGGGATCCTCCATCAGACAGCGGCCTTCAGCCGCTCCTTGGACTACTAGTGGCCCAAATGGTCCTGTGCTCGGCTAAGCTGTTTGGGACCGACCGTTGCCCACTCCTGAAGCGTGCTTGCACCCTGGGACTCTCTACAAGACAGCGGCCTTCAGCCGCGCTCTGGACTACAGACCCAGCTTGCGGCTTTCTGCCGCCCCTCCTGGCACGCGCACTTCCTGCCTTTGGATACAAGTGTGTGTGTGTGTGCCAGTAATACCGTCCTCACGGCAATCTCGGGTTGCGTGTGGCCTTTGTGGCCCCTGGCCTCACTGTAGCTGTTTTCACCCTGCCAGGCCTAGCCTGGCGCGCGGCTGTGGCCGACCTGGCGGTTTTCGCCCGTCCCCAGACCTGCGCTACTCCCTGGATTCTCCTAGCTACTACGGCCTTCAGCCGTGCCTCCTGGGACTATGTGACTGTGAGGGACGCGTCCTTGGGTATGCGACGGTCCTGTCCCTCGAGCGCTTCCACACTTGGGTGTGTGGGCCTCTTGGCGCTGGGTCACATAGATCGGTGCACTTCCATTCCCGAGCGACCTCGCGTTCTCACTGAGTGGCCTCGTGTACCCTTGCTGCGCCCAAACCAGATCGCTGGTCCTCTGAACGCAGGCGCATCTCTCAGCAGTGGACGGTTCTTGCCTTAGCCCGTGCGGCCCTAGGCTTCCACTTGCGTGGATGCGTGCTCTGATGCTGCGACGGTTCGCTGGCGCTGTCAGAGTACTCCCTGCTGGGCTGCGTCACCAGTTTCAGTCTGTTCATGCCCGTCAGACTCCCTGGACTGACTTTCCCGCATGGAGATCGTTCCCTACCTCGCGGTCGTCTCGACACGACCACGACTTGGAACGCCCTGCGCGCCATTTTGGCAACGCCTGGCCCACCCCGGTGGCTGACCTCTCAGACTCCCTGGGCATGCCGCTTGCACGTTTACCCCAGGTGGCTGTCCTTGCCGACTCCCTGGGATTGCACGTCCGCTGGCCTCTCAGACGCCCTGGGTTGCCGCTGCCTCGCCGCCTGATCCGCGGCTCCCGCGCGCGCCCGCATTTAGTCGCGGCCGCAGCCCGACCGCGACCGCTCGCCGCTGGCGCTTCCGCCTGCGGCTGTAAAAAAATATCCCCGCCAGCCCCGCTCCTTCGCCTCCTCGTCGTGTTGGACGGTGCGGCCTCACTGGCCCCTCCGTGCTGCCGCAGCGCGGCGTGACCCACGCCCTTACGCGCTGGTCGGTACGGACTGAGCTGGCGCCACTGTGCGACTTCTCCTCCGTCAGTTTCCTTCTGATGCCTGCGTCCCCGCTTTCGGGTCGCCCGCATTTTAATGGGGGGCATTTTGTCCCTGGCACGTGCACTAGCTGCGTCGGCCAATGCGCCGTCGCCGCTAATTATTTCGCCCTGTGCCCCAGCCGAGACCGTCCCGCTTGTTGGATCTGTCCTTGTGAGCCGCCAATCAAAAAAGTATCCCCGCCAGCCCCACAGTGCGACCGTGGCCTCGGCACCCGTCGCTCTCTACGCTGGTTCCGCTCGGGGGCCATGATTCGTGGTGCGTCGCTCGTTCGGGCAGAACGCTTCGCCGATTGGGTTTCCTCCGATGCAAGCTCTCATCGTCTGTTGATTCACGCTTTCCTCGACGGCCCGCTCGCCCACGAGATGCGGTTACGCGGCATCGTTCGGCTGCGGCGGGGTGCTGTTTCTCATTCGGTACAGGCTTGTGGCCGAGAGGAGTTTTTTCGAGGGTGTCGCTAATGCAACGTGGGCGCCATCGAACCCACCGCCGGTTGGGCTCGGGTTTGTCCTCGCTGAGCGGCGGTTGAGCCTGCGTAACTTGCATTTTCCGCCGTTTGTTAGCTGCGCGCGTTCGGTCCCGTTTTAGGGCGTTGTACTTTTGGTTTTTGCTACTCGGCATCTTCCTGACGGGGCGCGGCTCTTCCGCTTGCGCTCGCGAACAAAAAAGTATCCCCGCCAGCCTTCGGACCGCCAGTTTTCGCAGGAGTGGTTCAGCCTTCTTGAACGATCATGCGTCCTCCTCCGTCGGTCTGCTGCCTGCACGCTGGAGTGTTACGCAGCCCTGCGCTTCGCCACGTCTGTGGCGCGCCGACCTCTGGCGCCTGGTTGCGACAAGGTCAAATTCACGTGCCTGGTGGCCACGCCCCTGGGTTACCCGCACCCTTGCAGCTTCCTGGTAGCCCCAGCAGCTTGCAGTCCCCGCCCACGGCGCTGCCTCGCTTCCCTCGGCGGTTGCAGCATCTGCCCTCGGCGCAGCAGCTTCCCCTGGCGGTAGGTTCTGTCGGTGTCTGCGCGCGCGCCGGCAATTAGCTCCGCTCGTAGCCTGAGCTGACTCGACTCGCCGCTGGCGCCTTCGCCTGCGGCTGCGACAAACAATCCCCGTCAGCCCATCCAGGAATGCTGCCTAAGGGATCTGCCCTCATCAGGGGAGCGCGGCATCATTTTGATACCTCGAGAAACCTCAGTGCACTAGAGGCATCTTGGACGCCACTCGGAGCCGCATGCGATGTTTCCCGGAGGTCTCTCGGTGGCATCTTACGGCGTCTTGGGGGCCCCTTGGGGGCCTATTGGGGCGTCAGGGAAGCTTCCTGGGGGCCTCTTGGGGGCCTCCTCAGATAGGTGCGAGCTGTTTCCTTAAATTCGAATTCCGCGGAGGGGGCGAGCGCATAATCGGATCGCGAGAAGCGCTGTCGAGTTGCACGTCGGGAAACAGGCGAGGCGGGGGCCAACGCCCCCGCCCTTTCCTGCGCCTTCTGTCGGTCCTCGCGCGCGTCTGGCGGGAGATGGGCCCCGGGGCGCCGCCAATTGTCCCCAGCGGGGTCCAGCCCAGAGCACAGGCGGGGCCGCGACGCGCCGAGCAAGAAACGACGATCCATCGCATTGCCTCTTCCCGCTGTGCCCGAGTACGGGAGGCGCTCGTGGCCCAAGCGGCCCTCTTATTATACTAATTCAAGCGCCCCCCCCGTCCCCCGATCTGGGGCGGAGCAGCGCGGATGGGCTATGGACTGCTTGTGCTTAACATTGTAATAGGAGGAGGACCAGCGAGCCCACCCTCGTCGATCCCCGTCGCATTATAGGGTTCGGCGTCGGAGGGCGGTGGTTCCGCCTGAGCCCCACGCTGGTTCCAGCTTTTCAAAATTTGCGAAGCCTTCTGTATTCACACGGTTCGTGCTTGGTTCCAGTTTGGTTCCACGATGGTTCCGACGCTGCAAGTCCACGAGCCCCATGAATGTATCAGATTATTGTTCCAATGTGGTTCCTCGATGGTTCCGGCGGTGCATGTCAACGAACGCGCATGAGTTTACATTGTTTCTGTTTGGTTTCACGATGGTTCCACGGGGGCTCTGACGCTGCAAGTTTTGCGACGACATGGGAATTCGCATATGTTTTGCTTGGGTCCGCGACGGCTCTACCAGGATTCCGTTGTCGTCGTCGGCCGCGAACTGCCGTCGAGGGCGCGGGAAGTACACCGCCGCCAAGGAGACCGCCTCGCCAAGTGATGCGGCTCGCGTTGGAAATAGCATGACCGCAATTTCAGGAGACTTCCGCACCTGTCTGTTGGGGACCCCTTGGGGATCTCTTGGGGCCCTTCTTGGGGGTTTTTGGGAGCCTTGGAAGCCACCTTGGACCCCTAACGTCGCCTCTTGGGGTTCTCTTCGGACTATCCTGGGGCGCTCTTGGGGTTCGTCGTCGAGCCCTCTGCGGTTCCTTTTGGGTCTCTCCTGGGCCCTCCTGAAAGCATCTTGGAGCATCGAAAGGTCATCGGAAGCGAACAGGCCAGACGTTCAAATTCATTGATCTTCGTTCGGTTCTGGATGCGGTTTTGCCTCTTGGGGGCGCCCTGGGCAGGCCCCACTGCCACTTGGACCCCCCTTTTGGGGCGGTCATGGCACCTGTCTGAGTACGTTGGAAGCCACGCGTGGCTGCGACTTCAAGCAGTGTGTGTGTGTGTGTGTGTGTTTGTGTGTGTGTCGACGTGTGACTCAGTGGTCAATTAGCACCAGGCTGCCGCTGGCGCTTCTATTTATACGAGTCGATGTGATCCTCGTGTTGTTGGCCGCTGCACGTTGGCTGTGCAGCGCCTCGTGCTCTTTTTGCCACCTATCTGCGCTGCCGCGACGGCTTCTTTTCTCATCATTGCCCGTTCGATTAAGTTCGTTCGCAATTGGCACCTCCACCTGCCGACCGCGCCCGAGGTCCACTCTGCGCCGCCGACTTAAGAGTATGTCGACCCGTTCTACGCCGCTCCGTTGCGGGCGTGGCCGCGACGCTAAAAAGTGCGTGTGTGTCTTTGTGTGTGTGCGTGTGTGTGCGTGTGTTTGTGTGCGCGTGTGTGTGCGTGGGGAAAGTGGGCGGGGAAAACGAATTGGTATGACGATGGATGGGAAGAAAAAAAATAATATGGAAAGGAAGAAGAAGCAGAAGAAGAAGGAGGAGGAGGAAGAGGAGGAAGCGGAGGACGAGGAGGAGGAGGTGGGCTAGGAGGACAAGGAGGGCGGGGAGGATGGATATGTGGAGGATTGGGCAGGGGGAGGACGAGGAGGAGGAGGAGGAGCAGGAGGAGGAGGAGGCGGAGGAGGAGGAGGAGGAGGAGGAGGGAGAGGAGGAGGAGGAGGAGGAGGAGGAGGAGGAGGGGAGGAGGAGGAGAAGGAGGAGGAGGAAAAGGAGGAGGAGGAGGAAGATGTGGAGGAGGAGGGAGGAGGAGGAGGAGGAGGAGGAGGAGGATGGAGGCTGACAAGGAAGGGGGGCGAATCGAATGATGGGGAGCACAGGGGACGGAGGATGCATCCCCCTCCCGCGGAGAGAGGCCGACGCGGCCCAGCTCCACGGAGGCGCCAGCCAGGCCGCCGGCAGTTCTGCGGCGCCTGCCGTCGTAGACCCCATTGAAGCCGTCAGAACACGGCTTCGGGGGATGTCTGTCAAG